ACCCGCCCCAAGACTTTGGCCCTCCCTACCCCGATCCAATCCACAACCTCTCCTTTGAAGAGCTGGCCTACAGCCTCGGCATTACCGGCCCCGTCAACTTCCCCATCCAGCCGTGGCCCCCCGCCTTCTCCTCCTCCTCCTCCTCCTCCCTCGGTCCCCACGCGGACACGAGCATGGCCGAAGACCCCGCCAGCGCCGAGGCCTGCGTGCGCTATGCCCTCGCCATTGACCCGTGGGTCGGCCAGTTTGGCGACGTCCTCGACGGCGTGCGCGCGGGCGGAGGCGCCGACGGCGCGGGCGGGCCTGCCGGTGGAGGTCCTGGTGGCAGCGGTGGCTGGGCGGGACCGGCGCAGCAGTTCCAGATGTGATTCTACAGTTTTTTTTTTTTTTCCTTTTTGTGTGTGTGTGTGCTCGTCTACATACCCCCTTTTTGTTTTTGTCTTTCGTGTTGGGTCCATGGGCGGAGTTTCGGTCGGCTTTCATGGTCATTCCTTTTTCCCAATCCTCGGCGCCCATTCTTCCCTGTGCACGGAAACCCTATTCTTCCTCCTGCGTCGAGGTTCGGCACGATGCGCGCCCCTCCCCCCCCCAATGCACTAGCCTCTCTCCTCCGCGGCATGGTTTGCACTTGTTCGTCTTCTCGCGTCATGGATCAACGCTGGACATGGCTCCGAACACTGAGACGGCAGGAGGAACGGACTTGCATTTCTTCCCTGTCCATCATGTCAGTGGACAAATGCATCCCTTTTCCAGAAGAAGCGTTCTGCACAGGGTGGAGGGGGAGGGGGGGGGAATACCCGCTGTTTCATGTATATTTTTACCTTGGGGCGTACAAGGGCTGGGATCGGCGGTCGGACGGACGGGCATCAGGACAACGGTTTGGAAGCATAGCAGAAGCGCGGTCGGTGCGAATGGCGTTTATTTTGTTTTTTATCGACAACGTCAATCGGTCGAAACATGTACGAGTTTGTGCCTAGTTAGAGCGCCGTGTGTCTGGTGATGTGTGTCAATACGAACAGAGCACCCGTGGCTTTTGTGACTTGTCAATGTGAGACTTGTCTTGATTGAGTCGCTATACTCTCTTCCAAGTCTGTCAAACTCAAACAATGCTCTTGAGCTCGGTTGCATTCCCCGTGGAATACACATCGGCTCAATCGCCAGCCTCCATCAATTTCATCGTGTCCTTCAACAGGTGGATCACCCTCATCTGGTCTTGGCCGCCTGCCCCCTGGTCCTTCAGACTCTTCGTTTGATACATTCTCGTGACACGGCCTTGCACCTCTTCTTCGTCCTCGAGCCCTCTCTGCAAAAGCCAAACCATGTATCCATATTCGTACCAGTCCAATTTTGGAGTCCAGTCACAGGTAATATGATAGCCGCTGCCGATTCGTTCCCGCGCTCGTAATAACAATGACCCGTGTTTGCCTTGGCATCGCGTCCTGCTCTGCCTCCCCCAGCTGCTCTACCCATAGAGCCCTAGTCCACGCAAGTCTGCAAAACACAGTGACCAGTATTCCGTGCTGAAAGGTACATAGCCGTCTAATCTGACGTCAAAACGCCCGCACCTGTCATTCAAATCAAGCAATCAATCTGGCGCAACTCCTGACATTTATGAAATGCCGCCGCTGTTGGTAAGAGGGGGTATTGGTGAAGGAGGAAATCGTAAAAGTGAGATGTCGTGGAGAGGGGTAGGTGGCGGGTGCGTGGCATACGGCATTCCTACCCATGCAATGTACATGGACCATGAGTTTTTGTGACATATTCAGCGCCGCTGAAGTCTCTTCAGTCCATGTAGAAGTCTCCCTTGAGAATACGCTCCTGGAAAGCGTCGGGTTTCTTTCGCTGGGGCTCAGGAGCCTTAGGCTTCATGGCGGCGGCCTGCGCGGGCGGGGCGGGCATGTCAGACACAGATTTGGCGCGGTCGTGCATGGCGCTGCCGTTGCCACGGGGTGGCGAGGTGGACGCAGTCGAGCCAAAGGAGAATGACGGTCGGGGGCCCTGGACAGAGCTCTCAGCTCGGGACTTGAGTTGCTCGGACCAGTTAAATCCTTGATCTGCCAAAGAGAAGAATCGTTAGTCCAGGATCGATCGAGTGGTGCATTGCTTGCCAGGGATATGATCATGTCTTTCGGCATGCGCAGTCGTTGAGGTCCGCCCCCTGCAACGGGTGCAGGTGGACGACGACGAGCTGGTGCGGTTGACTTTGTGGGAATCGCACCTGTTCTCGTCGAGGGAACTCGGGGGTTCACACTGCTTCGTCTGCCGCTCATGGTAGACATTTGATGAAGGGGAGCATTGGAGGGGACAGATGTTGATGCAGATGGGTGATTACCATTTGGCGCTGAGGGGCTTCCGCCACCTGGACGAACATTGCGCATGGCGGGGGCCCCAAAGCTCATACGGCGGGCGAAAGGGGTGGTGGGCGGAGCGCGTACAACCTCCTCTTCGTCAATGGCGTTCTCGTCAAACGAGTCAGAGTTGGTCGACATGCTGCCTCGTCGAAAGCCTGTGAAGGGGCTGGGGTTGGTAGGCGAGGTGCCAGCCAGGCCGATACCCGTGGTGGCAACAGAGAGACGTCGTCGCTGGGCCTCACTGTTCTGGTAGTTTTGGCCGACCGAGGTCGAGTTGCTGCGGAAAAGGCCAGCCAGGGCCTGCTGGGTGACTGAGCCGCGACGTCGGTGGTTCATGTCGGCGTTGTTGTTGGCGTTGTCGTTGAC